ATTAAAAAAATTTGACTGTTGTCTGGGCACAGAAGGGAAACCTTGGAAGTTGTTATTGATTGAGAGATTTTAGAGTGAAGATCGTACAGACAATTCAGTGGATCACGATGGTTGATACAATTAGCCTGCTTTTCCCAAAATTTTTAGTCGGAGATCAGGGACCTGGCTTTCAACACCCTGATTTCCACATCGTTGGCCATAAGCTCTAAAAAAGAATAAAATTGTTATAAAATACTCAGCAATTGCACCTGCTGCTCCTGGCGTACACAAACTCAGTACTTCAGTTCGCGTCTACTATTGTTCTGCCAAAACAGGATAACAGCACTGTTGTGGGAGCGAATCTTATTGCCATCTATGATGAGAAGAACATCTGATTGATTTGAGTTCTGTAAAACATAATCAGAAGGTACGCTGGTGCATCAGCTGATTGCCTTGAGGAAAGCAGGGTCCCAAAGACTGCTATGAAATGCACAGAAAGCATAATTAAGTCCATTAAGCTTCAGGTGAAGGAGTCAAACAAGGTCTCTAACAACTGTCTGACAACCACAATGGGCTCTTGCAATCAGAACAAGATCTGAGTAAGGCAACCTCTGAAACAGAGCTCTCTGAGCAGAGGAAAAGTCAAAGGCCCTCAGTTGGGAAATGGGACTCAGCAGAGCAGTGGGTGAGGGATGCGGGATCTTTATATTGTAAAAATATTATTCTAGATGTGAGTATTATGTCTACAGATTAACCTTGAATGCACACTGGTTACAGTAGCACACAGTTCCCAGCATAGACATTCTAACTGGATAAATAAAAAAGACTGTAACATCTTCTATTGTTTCAGAAATGAAAATTCACCTCTCTCCACCAGTACAGGTTGATAAGGCAGCCTGTACACTTGCCCTCCTCATCTCGTGGAAGGCCACTGTAACAATTAAGGAAGAAAAAAATCTAAGGGACAACTGGTAAATCATATGACAGAGGAGCAAACCCACGTGGAAAAGGAAAGGGCAAATTAAATCAGCAGCTTAAGGCAGCCCTACAGAAGGCAAACCATATTAAGCAACTTAACGCAATTTGTTCCCAAAATGTAAATGGAACCACCATTCAGCCTCCTTATCCACAATAACAGGTACAATGAGACTGATTTCCAATGATTTCTCAAATAAGTGCCATGTCCATCACAGAATTAGTCCCTAGGGACTTCATAAGGGTACTGATATTAACTCACTTCAACTGTGATTCCTGCCCTGAGGGCAAATAACATAATTGCACTGCAGTGTACATTTGGCTTTTGCTTGCTTTTGCTCAGTTTGCATAGTTCTGCACTTTCCTATTGTTTCTGTAGTACAAGATGTCACAGCACCATTTTGATGACATGTCTGAGTATATCAAAGGCCAAGGGAATCCTGTTATGTAAACACATCATTTATTACTATGTACAGCAATGATTACCTGACATCAAACCCATCTAGAAGCATGCTGTGTGACTGCGAGTAGGCGGCTTCCTGTTAAAGAGCCCTATCGATTGACAGGAGTATGGAGAAGAGACAACAAAGGGGAAGGGTGTTTTGTCAATATCTCCAGCACTGTAAGGAACGGGCCTCCTATTCAACATACAACATAAACGTGGATATTTTCCAGTTCTCAACTCCTCTAAAACTCTGACAACTTCCTAAAAAACCATTCTCTTAGGAGCCAAGGAACACAGTGCAATAGCTCTGCCCTGCCTTGCTTGTTAGCACCAAAGTTTAAGCCTAGAGGATGCAGCATCCTGTGGTTGCTGGTAAGGCAACAATGGACTCCCTGTCATGTGTCCCTCGGCTCTTTCCAGGCAGAGAGCTATGGGATGTTGACCATCCTCTGATCCAAGTGACTAATTTAGAGAAGGTGGCCCAGGGAGCCCAAAACCAGATTTATCAGAGCATGCAGGAAAACAAGCCACTGCAGCATTACCAAAAGAACTTCCATGGAGATTCATGGGGTGGAGAGTAAAAAGCATAGCTGTGCATCTGAATAGTTGAGCTACTCTTCACTGCAATCAAATTCAATTTCACCAATGTGACAGAGAAGAGGTATGAAATATTAATGATCTGTGCTGGCCTAAATGGTTGTTAGATGTACGCAGCCACATTGTGTTCTAAAGAAAATTGTATGCAAACATAAAAATGTTCTCATTGCATTTGAGGGGCATCTCAAGCAGGTGCTTACATGGTCAGTTCTCATACATGTAAACTGGGGCAGATATAGCTTTCTCTTTTCTCCTGTTTGGCTGTATGTAGTGATTCCCTTCAGACCCAGTATTTGTCTTGCAAATCAGAAGAATGAACTCTCGCGCACCGACACAGCGGATTCTCACAGCCATACCTTTTGCCATTCAACAGTTTCTGGAGCTGCTTCTGTTTCTCCACACCTGATGCTTTAAGCTGGAAAATGACTTCATGGGGGCATTTGGAGGCACCATCACTTAAAGCAAAATACTTTTTTTTTCTTCTTTTTTTTTTTTTTTTAAAGTCTGTAGACAACAAAAAGAAAACACAGAATATAAGTTATAAGTTCCAGTGGAATATAAGTTCCTGTGGAAGGAAAATAATGCAGAAATAATACCTTTAGAAGAAACAGTTTTGATAAATAAATTTCACCTAGAACGAAATTTTCTGTGAGCACAAGGATATGATTTCAGATTTGCATGTAAAACAGGTACCACATCTGTGTAATTTCAATGAACTTGAATAAAAACAAGAAACAATATATATCCAAAATAATTTTGCTTGCAGGTTAGACATGAAATTGTTGACATATTTAGTAGCTGTTTGCCTGAAGATCTGACCCACAAGTTGTACGTCTTTCAAGCAGAAAGAATAAGAGAGTATGAATTAAAAGATGAAGCTAGTATGAAAAAGTATCTGCTGAAAACGTCTGTCAGAAAAACTCTTCTTGGATACATTATTTATCTATAATGGAATATATGGTTTTTCATTTCAAATCTTCTGTTTTATGAATGGAGTTTGTAAAGACATCTTAGATATTTAGACACTGAAGTTTCAATGCTCTTACATTCATTGTTTCTGGAATATAAAAAGAGAAGGCACTATTATTTTAAAATAATTTTAAAATATTTGACATCTAATGCAGAAGTTTTTGTCATTAAATAATACTTAATGCAGCCTAGATATACACTTGCTGCAAAGGCTGCTCAGAAAGATAACTTTGGTCTGCTTTGACTCACTGCAGCCTCAAGTTTAGCCAGAGGTCAAGGCGTGTTGGACTCAATATAGCTTTACAAGGACATTTCTAGGAACCGTACAGAGGAGCTGAGGGGACTTAGCATCTGGAAAGGGAGCGCTGAGGAGTCACAGGCAATGAATCTAGACTTAAGGACACTTGAGACAGACTTACAACTTGTGCCTTCCAGACCTGCTCAGCAGAGCTTTGTGGAGGATGTCCAATTTACCTAATTCTTGAAACAGGCTTCCCAAGAGATTGCTGGCTTGGTTCATCCATTATACTATTAGGTCTCTGGTTGGAGTGTGAAGGAGTTGATGAAGGACCAGGAAAACAGGCAAGAGCAAGTTTCAAACTTCCATACCTCATCAAGTTTGGTCCAAAACAGGCATCATTTCTGCACTTGACATTACTTTTAACTCTCAGGGTTTGAAAAATTTACATCAGCTGCTTGAGAGGAAATTGAAATTCCTGGAGTTACATTACTGGTTTCAAACTGCCCAGAAATTCCCATTTATGCAAAAGTTTAATTCCTTAGAAAGCTAGTTAATACAGCTTCTACTGACCAGGTGTTGGAGAGAAGAGACAAGGCCATACTGGAAGAGGACACTGTCCTTTAGAGACAAACAAAACATGTCATGATTCCTACTCAGCAGAAATTTACTAGACCATGTGCAGACAAGTTGAGGTAGCTCAGCATCTGGAAAGGGGGAGCTGAGAGGCCATGTGCGATGAATCTAGAATCCTTCACCAGATTCACAAGGGAAGCTTTAAAAATAAAGTTTAACTACATAAAAGGAGGTTCAGAACAATAAAGAGAACCAGTGGAACAAAGAGTGTGATCAAGGGTACAGCTGAGCTGAGTTGAAGGCTGGAACAACTCTCAGTGCAACGTGAGTTTCAAATTTGGGGCCCAACAGGGTAAGAAATCAGGAAGATTCCAACATATATGAGGAATATGTTCAGACTGCAGAAAGGAATTTTTCAAATAGGTTTCAAATATGGGCAATAGAAATGAGAGTTCAGAGGGAACAATAAAAGTATCTCAGGTAACATTTATGGAAGGAATTGGTGAGAATTCTGGCAAGAATAGAAAGGAAAATAGTATTTGTTGGTATTGAGCACAGAAACAAGGCTTAATGAGAACAAATTCAGAAAAAAAAAAAGAGAAAAAAGGAGGAAGACAAGCTCAAGTATATACAAATTCTCAGATGGAGAAGACAGCCTTGGAGGATGGAGAAGCAACATTATTCGGCCCTGACTGTGAACAAAATTGGCAAGCCTGGACTAACCGGAAAGTGTCTTGGGAGATCTGCCTTCTATTTATTTTCTTCTGTGGACTAGGTTTTGCATTGTGTACTCTTTGCTCAATGTGCATTGGTTATTAGTGCATTCCTTCTGAGCTATTTTTAACTTCTGAAAGGGACTGGTGTTAGTTTTGTGAGCTTAAGCTACAACTGTATTACAACCTGAAAGCTATACAGAGAGCAACAGGAAAATCTGAGCACTCAGCAGCTTTCCTTTTTCCAGGCCTTCTCCAAGAAACCGCACTCAAACCATCCCAAGCTCAGCTGTAATTTCTTTCAAACGCACCTTCAATCACCAGGAATAGTAAGATACTCCACTCTCTCATTCCTTTGGGCAGTGTACAGAGACTGTATTCAGTGAGAATACTGCATCTGCTACCCTTACGCATTCTGCAGTCCTCCGATAAGTTCACTACTATATGTAGGCTTCTACAAAAGTAATGCTTCCCTTTATTTCCATGAAAACTACAAATGATACAAAGAGCACAATAACATTGTTTGATAAAGCAAGTTTGCAGCTGCAAATCACTATTTTTCAATATAGTCTTTAGCTATGCATTGTTGCCAGCAATGAACAAGAGCCTGCATATTGCACTTGTAACAATCTGTACCAGCGGAGGTGATGAACTGTCACTGTAGCCACTGTTGAAACACACCACCCACTCCCTCACTGCGCTTACATCCACTGCCTGGGCTCCATAAAAGTTCAGCAAGAATCAGTGAATGTCAATGGGTGCCATTTTTTCCTCATAGAGGAATTCGGTTACACATCTTTGCTTCATCCACACTTCCATGTCAGACTGCCCCCTTCTGCCATCTGTCTCATGGCACAACATCATGGGCCAACATAATAAAGTAGGGAGCACTATTTTCAGAGCAGCATTTGTATAAGATTTTTGGGTCAGCTCAGCAAGGTTACATTGCCCTCAAAATATAAGCAAGACTCTAGTTTTCATAAATGAAGGGGTTAGAAATTTCAGAAAGTGATTGTCCAAAGGAAGATCTCCCAGAAGAGAGAAATTCTGTTCTGAGATGGGACATAGACATTCATAAGTACTTAGGGCCTGGAATCATTCATCACATACATTATGAGTAAGACTCTGGCAGAACAGTAAGTCTGGCAATCTGTAAACTTCCCCCTTTTTGCCACTATAAACTCATTTCTCCCTGACAAATAGCTTTTGAATCAGCATAATTAAAGTTAGCATTAAAGTTAGCATAATTAGCATTTTTCTTGCACAGGCCTAAGTGCTCTAAGAAAACAAGGCAAAGAAAGTGGAAGTAAAACTTAGTAATGAGACGTAAAGGATGCGAATACACAAAGTTCCTTTGATATTTACTCTTCTATGTCTGTGTCTGGAGCAGAGTGATGCTTTTCTGATATATGCAGAGATACGTGGAAGATACCATGCAGAATCCTGGCCTCTCAGAAGAAAAAAAACAAAACAAAACAATAACAACAAAGATGGTTAGGAAGGTTCAGCAACTTAATTTACTCACCAAGAAAAGAATACCCAGCAAGTTTCTAAGAATGTAGAATAAACTGGGGCAGATTGAAAAACTGAAATGTTGTTACTTGGGAAGTAAGGGTCTTATAGTACTTTTAGATGGTATATCATAATATTCTGCTTCAAACTAAGCTTTTACTTACCAAGCAATTAACTAGTTTAGGCTTTCCACTGCTCAGTCACTCATACCAATGTGTTCTAGCAGTGTCCCTTGCTTTTACAAAGCAGAAAAAATAAATCAAACGAAATAATTCCTGGGTGTTCCACTGCAAAAATATATATGCCACTTACACTTCTCTTGGAAGTTGGAGAATGCTTCTTATAAACAAATGTGAAATGAATTGCTGGAAAGAATGAACTGAATTTATGCAACTGAACAATACAAGAAGAAATTTTCAAAAATGACATTTTTGAAAGAGATCTTTTGATGTTTGATTAAAATGTGGGAACTTGTACCAACAAATAAGTTTAATTAGAGCTACTTAAATACGTAGTCTGTGCTGATTATTCACATGCTGCAGTATAATGGGAAACAAGTTCAGCTCTGTGGAGAACAGGAATCCTGAACAGTTCCTGGACAAACCATAAACCATAGAATTGCTGCAAATGAATATTCTTTGCTAGAACAGAAATATCCACATAAATGAGATAATATACTGAGGCAAAATAAGTGGCATTTATATGTTGCAAATATGCAAACAGAGAAGTAAACATATGTGGTTCTAAAATCAATTGCAAAGAAATTTATTGCAGTCAGTATCACCATGACTATTGTGTGCTCTCCATAGAATCAGTCCCTATCAATTCCAGATCAGCTTCTCGTGACATCTCACCTGTGGACCTGAGTGACCCATTAATAGATCCATCAGCTTCCTGGAGTGCCCTTCCACATCCAAGAAAGCTGTCCTGTTTCTGCAGAATGAGAAGGTAGAACATCAAGAGTGCTACTGGTACTGCAGTAAAGAGTAATAAACTTATATATTTAAGATGGAGCAAACCAAAGAAAGAACAATCAGAGTTTCTGAATGAATTCTTTCCAGCAGTATTCCAACACTGTTAGAAAGATAATGTGCTGTGTCTTGGCAAAGGGCTAAAAAATTAGCATTATATAAATAGAGAGACCCAGAAGAGCCACTGGGCCGGAATCAGTGAAGGCAGCAGGAATTTCCCCCAGATTGCAACAGACTTGGATCATGCCTGTTGTTGGCATGGACATGCAGGGCCCGTAAAACATTAGAAAAGTGAATTTTTATTAAACAAATTATCTCAAGACCTTGAAAACACATACAGTACTCTTTGCTATTTAGTTTTTCTTTTACTGGAAGCAGTAAATGAGAAACATTTCCTGCACAGTTTATTGAATGTGTTTGTGCTTAGTGCATAAAAAGGATATGCAGCAAGGTAACCAGGGCCTTTTAATACAATGCTATAGACCTTTAGGGAGCAAAAGTGAAGAGGAAGAAAGAAGAGACAGA